CTCTGGCCTTTAAGTTGAAAGCATTTCCAACTTCACTGGAAATATAACTTCAGTACAGTACAACTCCTACAACATTTGCAAATAGATCTACACTCCTCAAGTGGCTACAGAGAACCACATGATCATTACACATATTGAAATTGTCCTGACACAGGCAGATTTCAGTGTTTGAAAACTTAACAGCATTTCAGTATGCTGTTCTACCCTTTCATCTCCTATAGATAGATGCTCCAGCCCATAACAGAGGTCTTGAGTAATGCAAACCTACACAGAGAGGCTGCAGAAGCCTTGCAGAGGCTCTCACCTCCCTGTGAAACTGTAAGTATGTACTATTGGCACATTTTCTCAGTCCGTTCCCAATGCACAACTAAACCCTTTTAGCAGTCCATACAACTCACACACTGGTGTTGTATTAGCCATTTACATTTCAGTTCTTCTTCCTGTGCTTTCTGCACTTTTGAAGCTCTCACTGTTCCCTTAGACCCTCTTATTTCTGCAGATTTTGTCTTCTCTTCATTGACTTTCCCCACCCTCTGGCCACCAAGTGAGGGCAGTACACAACACTTCTCAAGTGCTCTGACTGCTATGTCACCTGAAATGTTTGCAATCTCTCACGTGCCCTACAATGTTTCCAAGCACAGTAGTCACTAATTAGAATCTTTCTTGGGTGTAACCTTCCCAATTCGTCTTTCTTCTTCTCATTTTAAATGATCGGGACAAACTGAATTTCTATGGTGGAAATGTAGATCTTTTATAGAATCATTTGAGTTGGAAGGGACTCATAAAGACCATTTAGTCCAACTCCCCTGCAATGAACAGGGACACCTACAGTGAGATCAAGTTGCTCAGAGCCAGCCTGACTTTGAATGTCTCCACACTTGGAGCATCTGCCATATCTCTGGGTGTATGGGAACTGCTGAGTCACGGCCTGAACCTCTGATTGATCACCTGAGGCGAGCCATGAGTCAGCCAGAGGAGCACAGGTGAAGGCAATTCACCTGTGCTGCCGGAAGGGGTGGAGCCAGGCTCCAGCCCTCCTAGACCTATTTAAGAGCTGGCTACCAGAGGGGAAGGATCTCTTCTGGAGATTACTTCTGCTGATGTTTTGTGAGTGAGCCTAGGATAGGGGTAAGCCTTCTATTTATTCTCTTTTGTTATCATAGTCTGCTTTGCCTAGCTCTCTTGCTTATTTTGTGATTATAACATCCTAATATTCTTTGATTACACACTCGGTGAGTAAGGCAGGTCAAATATACTAAAATTTACATCATGTCTTTTCTTTGGAATTTCTATGAATGGGTCAAGGGGGAGAACAATACTCCTCTAGAGAAAATGATTCCAGGGCAGATCCCAGGATTTGTGGGTACCCCCTATTATGAGCTAGCGGTTATCATTGAAAAATCTGCTCCCTTACACGTTACGGACAATATCTCCCCATATTGCATGGCGGATTACTTTCAGGGACTTAGCAAGGATGTGCTGATCACTAAAGAAAGACAACTGGCTGCCTCCACGGTGGTATGGCCACTATTAAGTGCCTTAAATCATGCTGAAATAAGAAATAATACTTTAGAGAATGAAAATCAATTTCTGAAAGACCATATTGAAAAACTAGAGCAAGAACTTGGCGTATTAACAGGGAAGAAGCCAATTTTACATATTCCCTTAGGCCAAGTTCGTAACACTTCATTAAACGATGACCAGACTCCTGAATCAACAGACTTCGTTGATCAGGAAAATAAAAAATCCCAATTGGATCTTGAATATCCAGTTCTGACTGATCCACTAGAAGTCCATCCTGTCATAACTCAGAAAACAAAAATAGTGCAGGACCAACCAGCAAGGGGTGCCGCCTGATCAGTGGCCCCCTGCCCAGACTCATTTACATGTAATGGCCCGGCCATACACGGCAATAGAATTGATGGATTTAGTACAGAGATTTTGGCAGAAGCCTAGAGAAAGTGTGCTGGCTTGGTTATTAAGACTGTACGATTCTGGGGCAGAAAGTGTCTTGGTGAATGGCCCAGAAATAGCCAAGTTGGCCACCATGACTGTCCATCCTGCTCTCAGGCAGAGGTTATATGCAGGTAACCAATACCTTGATGAAAACCATTCTATAATAGAATGGTTAATGGTGGCCTGCCGTATGGTATGGCTGAATAAATCGGATATACCTCTACACACAGGGATGTGATCCTCCATGGAGGACCTCCAGAATTATATCCGTGAACTGGGCGTAAGAGAGGCTATCTATGAAGACACATTTGATGGCCCTGATATGGTCAAATTTTCAGCAGGGATGAGATACTTGATTCTACAGCAAGCTCCCTCTCATCTCTACGGTACCCTAGTCTCTATGTCAAATCCCCTGGTGGCCTCAGAAGCTGTAGTCCAGCAGGCTGCCCAGTTAGTGGCCGACCTGTGATAAACAGAACTCCTGTGGACTAGGCACAATATTCAGATGTTGGAAGAAGCAGGGGTCCTGCTGGTAAGTAAAACCAAAATGTCAGCTACTTGAGCTCCTCAATTGGGACCCATAAGGGTCTCCCAAAAACAAATGTTTAATGATTTAATTTGGGCTGGGGTCCAATTTGCTAAGATCGACCGCCAGCCCAACCATGTCCTTCTCCAGCTCTGGAGACAACTATGGGACAATCAAAAATTCCAAACTACCCTAAGAAATCAAGGGTAAGGGTTATAGAGAGGGTACCAACAACATGGAACCTAGAAGATTTCGTTGTTCCAAATAGGAAGAAAAAAAAAAGCTGCCTTAGGTGTCTCGGGCCACAATGCCTGACCAACTGTAAGCAAAAGAATTGGCCATAGCACAATTCATGGTGTGACAAGGGATGTTAGTCCCCCTAGGCCCTCCAGATGGGACTGGATGCCCTATGTAGAATTAACGATTTATTGGTCCTGAAAAAATATTCAGAGTTATGGCATTAGTGGACACCAGAGCAGAAACATCAATTATCTATGGAGATCCAATGAAATTTGATGGGGACAGAGTGATGATTGGTGGTTTTGGGGGACAGACTATTCCTGTCACTCAAACATGGTTAAAACTGGGGGTTGGGAGTCTCCCACCCCGGATGTACAAGGTGTCTATTGCCCCAGTCCAAGAATACATCCTGGCCATAGATATTCCATGGGGTCTGGCTCTCCAGACAATCATGGGAGAGTTCAGACTTCAACAAAGATGTATCAGTATCCGGGCGATGCAGACAATATTAAGAGGCCATGTGAAACATGGAACTATTTGCCTGCTGAAACCGCGCCGGATTACTAATGTTAGACAGTATAGACTCCCGGGTGGGCAAGATGAAATATCGAGAACGGTGCAGGAATTAAAAAAAGTGGGTATTATAAGACCTGCACACAGCCCATATAACTCCCCCATATGGCCAGTGCGAAAGTCAGATGGCACATGGAGAATGATAGTAGATTACAGAGAATTAAATAAGGTTACGTCGCCTATTCATGCATGCAAGCCATATGGATGGTTATAACCAAGGAACCCGGTGATGGTATCCTAAACATCTGCACAGTTAGTTGGGCTATGTACCAGGGGCTCACTCTTTGGATTGCACAGCAGGCCACTCAGGAATGGTCTATCCATTCCTGACCAATCTGGGGCAAAGATGTGGTTAGACATATGGAATATGGTCAAACACAGGATTGTACGTGTCTGCCATGTTTCTGGTCATCAGCCCCTACAGTCACCAGGAAACGATGAAGCTGGACATGCTGGCCCGAGTTCAATGGATTGAGAATTCACCATCTGAGAACATCGCCTGCTGGTTACATCAGAAGCTACAGCATGCTGGACAAAAGACAATGTGGGCAGCTGCTAAAGCATGGGGACTGCCCATACAACTATCTGATATCATCCAGGCACGCCAGGATTGCGATGCTTGCTCCAAGATGAGACTGAGATCGTTGCCTGAAACAACAGCCCATCTTGCTAGAGGACACAATCGTCCCCAGCAATGGCAGGTTGATTATATCAGGCCCCTTCCTCACTCCGAGGGGGCAAGATACGCCCTGACCTGTGTTGACACTGCAATTGGGCTGCTGCAGGCCTATCCAGTACCAAGGGCAAACTGGGCATATACCATCAAGGCACTCACTAAACTGATGTCTGCCTACGGGACACCTCAAGTCGAGAGTGACTAAGGGACTCATTTTATTGGTGCAACGATACAGCGCTGGGCAGAAGAAAATAACATCGAATGGCGATTCCACCTGCTGTGTAATCCAATGGGGGCAGGCCTCATCAAATGTTATAATGGTATTCTTAAGGCTGCCCTGAAGACAGACTCCCAGTCCCTACAGGGGTGGATGAAAAGACTGTATGAAACCTGTGGGACCTGAATGAAAGACCTTGAGACAGCAGACCAAGTGCCCTGAGAATGTTGTAGGCAACAAGGGCCATCCCACTTAGGATCCAAATTACGGGCAGTGATCATCAGGTAAGACCCCAGATTGGTAATGAAAATAATATTCTGCTCCCTGCCCCTTGGAATTTAGAGCCGGGTACCCATAAAATAAAATAGCCCTGGAATGTGCAGGTAGGACCCAAGTGGTGTGGCCTATTTGCACCTTGGGGGAGACTATTGGAGGTGGGAGGCTCAGTAGTCCCTCCAGTAATAGGTACATGGCCTGCTGATATTGTGGTCAACACTCGGATCTTTATTGCTGAAGGGACCCCCATCCTGTCCCTGTGGCAGATCAGGACACCTCCTTTGGTGCCTGATATCGTTATGCAGCCGCAGACATCTGACCAGAAGGTGTGGTACAGGCAGCCAGGACGTGCCCCAGTACAAGCGGAAGTGTTGACCCAGGATAGAAATACAGCTTGTATCTTGCCCTGGAGAGCAGACCTTCCCCTCCTGGTACCTCTGAATTCACCTGTGCTGCCAGAAGGGGTGGAGCCAGGCTCCAGCCCTCCTAGACCTATTTAAGAGCTGGCTACCAGTGGGGAAGGATCTCTTCTGGAGATTGCCTCTGCTGGTGTTTTGTGAGTGAGCCCAGGATAGGGGTAAGCCTTCTATTTATTCTCTTTTGTTGTCATAGTCTGCTTTGCCTAACTCTCCTGTTTATTTTATGATTATAACATCCTAATATTCTTTGATTATACTCTGGGCAATTTGTTCCAGCATCTCACCACCCCCACTGTAAAAAACTTCTTCCTTTTATCCAATCTAAATCTCCTGTCCTTTAATTTTAAACCCCTTCTCCTTGCCCTATCATAGCAGACCTTACTGAAGTCTGTCTCCTTTCTTCTTATAGTCCCCCTTCAGGTATTGAAAGGCTACGATCTGGTCTCCTCATAACCCAGCTCCTCTGTTAGTGACACATGAAGACTTTAAGAGTGGGGGAGTAGCAAACTGGAGGAGAAAAGATTTTACAGCTAAAGAAACCGTATGTCAACCTGAAGGACAGCATCCAATCTGTACCTCTGCTGCTGGATTTCCTTTCGATGCTGGCTTTAATCTTCAGATCTATGGCAGTAGTCAGTAAAACGTGGATATTACCCTTCTACTTGAAAGATGCTATGAGGTTTTTAGTATTTGAAATCCATGAGGTTATTCCAGCACAAGCACCTGAGAAAAGCCCAGAAGGAAAAGAACACATCCACATTTAAGAGAGAGCTTATGAGTCCACATATAGGAAGAGTGGGGAAAAAAAAAGGAATATTTTAGAAGATTTGAGAATGAGCACCAATTGCCCTGTGTGCTGGGTGAAATGGGACTCCTGTGGAAAAACCATGACCAAATAGTAATCCATGCATACATCTGTATATACATATATACTCTGACACATATACATATATAGCACTTCAACAAAAAAATCTTCCAGTTTTTGCTCACTCACGGAATTTTCTATCACAGGCACCTATCACAAGATAGAACACTGCTTTTCACTTTTGCCCTTATTAAAATATACTCTCATTTTCACCTTCATTGTGACCTTTTCCCTTGTTTCTCGCTTTCCACGTCTGTACAATCTGACGCTCTCTTCCATCCTCCCAAGACGTAACATTGCACAGCAACACCAAAACACTGTCAGGATTGTATTTCTTTGAGAGACTTTTCTTCAGACTACTACTGCCCTCCTGAGAGGCATGTAATTCCCATTAGAGTCAGTGTAAGCTCTGCTGCAAAGCGACTGCAATCTGTATCTCACAAGCTCTCCACCAGACTGTGGGGGCTCTGATCGTTAAACACTGCCATTTTATATAGTTAGTTGGGAGTGCTAATTTATATGCTTGTATTTTAACCAGAATGGAACAGCTTCAGTATTTTTTTATTCCTCTTCTGTAGCCAAAAATAAAACTTCCTGATAAGTCTGAGCTAAAATATTTTACATCATGCAAGTGGCTCCAAGACCAGGGAGTGAGAAGACTCCAATGAGCCCTTTGTGACTGCTGGCCTGTGAGAAAGGAGGAAGATGTCATTTTCTCAGCTAAATAAAAACATCTGATTGGAAAAACACGTGTGACAGACTGTGGAATATACATTAGAATACCTTTATTGTTTTAACATTTTTAAAAAAGAACATAAAAACAGGATTCATTTTCTCTTGAGATTTTAAAATAAGCTGTTAAGAACTGTATTATAGCTATGTACGTTCTTGGAATCTCATTCTTATTCAACTATACACAATCATGCTTTCTGTTTCAACCTTCAGTGTCACTCAGTCTCTCAGTTTAGCAAAATAAACTGTGTCCAGAAAGCTGAGCTGGTCCTCTTAGGGTCAAATTGGAATAACGTTATCAGCACTGTTGTGACAAAAATCACTGGATTTTAATGACATTTTGCAATAGTAATCCCACAGAGGCAGGAAAAATACCAGAAGATGCTAAGAAAGAGGAAAGAGAGCACTTGCTGTTAAGTAAACATTAAAGAAAGTGAACTCAGACAAAGACAGTTGTTGACTTAATCCACTGAATGTCAGAAGAAATTGCTTCTGGAGAACAAAGAGAGAACAGCATCCCAATAGGAACTGATCCTCATGGACCTGCAGTTCTCCTGCACTTTATTAAGGCATGTAGAGGAACTGCCCAAACATAAGTCTTGCATTTCAAACGCCACAAAGTTCCCAAAGGAATTAAGTAGTTAGGGAGGATGTACATACATGCTTTGGGCTGCTTCAAAACTGTCTTGAAGATGTAGAAAAGAAAAAGAGTGCTCCAGAAGAGCATTTGGCGCCCAGCCACACAGGAGGCAGCCCGGCCCCACACTGGAACAATGTGTCCAACAGTGTTGGAACAAGATGCACAATTCTTATTAGTATACTCCAGCAGACTCTTCTTGAATAGGGAATTGGACCAGGTCATCTCCAGATGGCCTCTCTTCCCATCTCTGTCTTTCTCTGAATTTGTGACTCAGTTTTCCATGAGTATTAAATAGGATTCAAATCTGCATGTATTTACTCTTTTCTAAATGATAGGGCAATTGATTACAGTACTCCAGTAACTGTTTAAAATACACATCTGTGAGGTTTTCGATCATTTACAGTCCTAGACTACAAGAGTACCCAGGCAAGCACACTTTTGTTCCAAACTCATAGGTAAACAGGCTCTTCCTACACTAGAAACATTAGTCATAGTATTTGTATTCTCAGTACCTCGGAAGATCAATCTCTACTTACATATACTTTTATCAGTTATTCAGAAATTAATATAAAATAGCCTCTGCACATAGAATTCAGTGAGTGGCACAATAAAATAGAGTGTCATGCTCTCCTGTCAGAGCAATCTATGCCTTACGTAATTGAAAGATGGAGGGGGGGGGGAATTCTCATGGCCACAGTGAACAAACAATTTCATGCAGATTTTCATGCTGCAATAAAAAGAGCTGATGAGATGCTCAATGCATAAAGAATAGAGGCATCAAGCCCCATCCAGCCTGACCTTGAGTGTCTCCAGGGATGGGGCATCCACCACCTCTCAGGGCAACATTTTCCAGTGCCTCACCACCCTCACTATAAAAAACTTGCTCTTTTTAACCAATCTAAGTCTCCCCTCTTTCTGCTTGAAACCATTTCCCCTCAACCTATCACACTAAAGAGTCAGATTCCTTCAATATCTAAAGGAGGGATGCAAGATGGAAATCTGCTACAGACTTCTCCAGGCTGAACAGCCACAGCTCTCCTGTCCTCATAGTGAGGTGTACCATCCCTTGGATTTTTTTTCCCCCCCCTCACAGTTATTTTTTCCTCACATAGTTAGGAGGAAGGAATGACTTATGACTATGCATGCTGGTTATTTTCCAAGATCAATAGCAGCAGCCAGGGCCAAGGACAACTCTTTTGAAAGGAGAGGTGAAAGTAGCTATGATTTTCTATAGAGTCTCATCCCATCAAGATAACATGGTTAATACTTGATGGCCTCAGAGACCCACAAATGATACATAGGGGTCAGGAGTCCAAAGGAAAAAGAAAACCCACAGGTTGCTGTGGCATTTTACCCATTTATATTTCTTTTATTAAGATCTATAGTTTTTCTTTAATTCACACACCATAGTGTCAAAGAAGATGCCTCCCAGACACCTGCGTGTTTTTAGGATAACAGGCAGACCCTCCACCACATGAAAGACAGGAGCAGCAACGACAATTCGGGAAGTGTTGGTTGCATTCTTCTGCCACCAGCTGGTCTCTGGGAATAGAAACCACTGGGTTAAACCTGGAGGAACCATTTCCCAACATCACCAGTATTTTTCAAAGCTCTCATTTTCTTTCTGAGAAAGTATTTTAAAATACTGTGATATCAGTCTATGCAAATATACAAGTTTCAGTCTGTCTTCATTTCACTCTTACTTGTCTATAGCCTATTATGTCAGTAGAAAAGGTGCATGACATGATGCTGTAAGCTATGTCACAACAAGCTGACTTGTAATATGATGAGACGTTACAACCTCAAAATATCTATTTATTTTTGTTATCTCTTAAGACAGTTGACTATGGAAAACTTAGAGAAGGTATCTAGGTGACAAGAAACAAAGAAGAAAATGGTTGTATTCTTTTACCACAAAATGCATCTCTCTACTTTGGCATTAAAGCACCCAAAGCTAAGAAGGCGTGTAAAAAAATACAACTGAACTACGAGTGTGCAATGGCAGCTGCAAGCACTGATCTTCACTGTTTTGGGTGAATCCCTCAGAAGATAATAATTTTAAAGCCATGTTCTCTTTTTGAACCAAGCACCATGTTCTCTTTTTGAACCATTCAGTAACTCTCATATGGAGCTGTAAATGCTAGGTCTATGTCAAAGACAATTCAGGTAGCATTGTCATCAATTCAGGTAATATTAAAAACTTATAAAAAGCATAAATATGGGAGGTCTGACCTCCGCTAAAGCAGACAGGAGCACTGAGTCCAGGCACTCTAGCATTCTTAAAAAAGTGGATTAGCTGGAATTTCCCCTTCCCCCCCCCCCCCACTCAGAAGTGACTTTAAGGCCTGCTAAAAATAAGGCATTTAAAACAAACAAAAAACAACAAAACTCTATTTCACTCTGAAAAGTCACAGGAAATAGTGACTTACCATAACAGCTTTAGTAATAATTTCTGAGGTCACTGCTAAGCAATTGCCTTTTACTTAGACAGAACTTATAAATTCCATCCTTAGATCTTCTTGCACTTTTGTAAGCTATGCTGAAAAGCTCTCCTACACTGAAACACGCTATTTCCCATCAATAAGTACCTACACCCAGCAACAAAATCACTTCGCAATTTCTTTTTCATGAATAGAGAGGCTACCACTGTTATCAATCACTGTTACACCTTATTGCAAAAAGAACTGATTTCTGAACACACCAACTAAAACAAGGAAGACAACAAGAAACTGGTTAAAATCCAATCAAAACAGCTATTTTCCAATCATGAGCATCAACACACTTTATTTAAAGGTTGACTCAAACCATTTTGTTCAGTCTAATAACTGTGAGGTACGGCAACGTGTGTGTTAATCATTTGTCTTTTTCTGGAGTTTCTAGTTCAAGACTGTCACTAAAGATATAATGCTGTCAAAGAAGTTTCAAAGATTTCTTCTGAAATGTTAAACAAATCTGTTTCATTATTTCTAGAATGCTGAAGCGATATTTAAAAAAAGAAGAGTTCTCCACTTGCTCTACATTTTTCAGGACAATGGGGATTTTGAAGAGTCACCATGGTGAATCTGTCAACTTTCCCAAGTTTATTTTCTCTCTTTTAAATGTCACCTTTCTGAGAATGTTCTGATAAGTATATTTGCTGTCCGTGTAAATAATAGGAATTTAACACATCCACAGTATCTCACTGGAACATCATAAATAATCCTGGCACCAACCGCTAAGAAAGTGTGATTGCAAAATATCAATTACAACTGGCTCATAAAGACAGCACTGGCCATCCTGGCACTGAATGTGGGAAAAACAGTATGTGATCATGTAACCAAAGGCTGGATCACAAAGCCTACACACAAGGGGATTGAGTTAAGCCTCCATAGGCAAATACCTGAATTCTGTCATTTATAAACTCAATTGGCATTTCCTGAACACTCAAGTTTGCAATCTGAATAGCATTAATTAATTTAGAGGTTGTATGTAACTACTGAGGACTAATACGAGAGTATCATTATCATAAAAGTATCATGATGTAAAGAGATAGATGCTTAGGTAGCCAAGTTCTTTCCACATAATTTCATCTGAGTAACAAAGCAGGGCCTGAGTCTGTTATGAAGCTCACAGGGCTAAGAGTTAATAACATAGTGGATAGCAGTCTATACTATTACACTTATAGCACGTACTTAGCTGATGCATTGCTAAACGCAAAAAGAATATAGATCTCATCCTTTGATGATACCTTACCTTCCCCATGAATTCTTTTCTCAGACATGACTAGTTCCTAAAAACAAAAAAAAAAAAAAAAGCAGAGCAAGTTTTTCACTGCTATACCTTTCTATTTAGCACAGCAATTCTTTGTCGTTACCCACCAGTATGGATCTAGCAGACACGAAGATAACACTGGTCAGGAAATGCTTTCTTTTCAGTGAGAATACATTTATTTCCCAAAATTCTTTTCCCCTTTCAAATTTCTGTTTAGGAGGATCTGAATGTTGGCTTTGCACTGACTTGGTCATTACTTCAACAAGACATTTTTGAAGCTAATAGCAGTTCTATCTGTTAACAATAGCAGAAAATAATTGGAAGTGAAAAACAATGGCCTGCCACTCACCGCTGCAAATAAAAGAATATAGGCCCCAGTTAGAGCCTAGAGTAGTAATGGGAAATTGGCCTTAATAGACTTCTGCTTGGACTGTAAAGTAAAAACTGGTGTTGTTCAAGGGATTTTCTTTAAGAAGATTATCTTCCAACTCCTCGTGTTAACATCCTCAGGTAGTCAAGAGCAGGGTAAATGAGGTGACAGTAATCTTTGGAATGTCCTAAGAGGTATGTTAACAAGTCCTAAAAACATGAATAAAATGTAACTTGGTATATTTCAAGCATTAAC